CTAGGGTAGGAACAGACAGCAGCTGACAGGCAGGTTCTCAGGGATGTGAAAGAACCACAAGATTGCCACCTCAAATGTTCAAAAATCATGGGTCAGGCCCCCCAAAATCATGAGGTTTAAAAATTAATAAATTATGGGCTCCTTTTCTGTCCCTTCTGGTTTTAGAGCCTTTAAAGAACACTTGGATCAAGCTGCATCCATGAGGGCTAGAGATATAAACCATCAAAAATAGGTGAGATTCTCACATAATCCCAAGTCTCCAGGTGCTGGGGTTTTAAGTAAAACATCAAATAGTGTGAGACTCTCAATAAAATCATTAGAGTTGGCAACTCCCTCATTATTTCCTGCTTCACGATTCCAGCTCTGGCCCCTCCATGATGAGTATCAGTAACTTGTACAGGGAGCGGAAGGCAAGTTACCACCACTTGCAGCAGCTAGGGGGTGAAAGAAGCAAGTGAAACAGCCTGTAAAAGCATGGGGCTTACAGGAAGAGAGGCATTCTGCCATCAATGGCAGGGTAGGGAGGGTAAATTGGACCCTTTGATAGGGAGAGGGTAGGGTTAGCGCTTTGATGTTCTTCTTTCAGGGAGCCAGTTCTCCCTAATCCTCCGTACCACCTTGGGAGGGTCAGGCTATCATTACCAAGGGAGAGCCAACTCCCTGGGGCATCACCAGTGCAAGGAAGCAGATCAAAGGTGCTAACTTGACCTTCACTCTAGCAGAGGGTTGGTTTTAGTGCATATTTTCTGCTTTTGTTGTCAGCCATGCTGGCCTCGTAAGAATGCCGTCACTCTTGACCTGCTGCTGGAATTTGTACTGGCATCTCAGCCCCCAAGCAGCTGCTACTACTTACTTAGTGCCCTATATCCAAAACTGCTGCTATTCCTCACCCTCCCTGCTGTCCTTCTGGAGCCTTGAAAAGCAGGGAAGCAGTAGGTGGGACAATTCTCTTACATCTGTAACAGGCTTCTTGGGAGCCTGCTCCTCAGCTGATCACACCCCAGGCATCATAAATGATCAACCTTGAAGGCCCACAAAGGTGCCATCTACTTTGAGGACCTCAAGTCATTCTGCTGCAGTTGAGATAAGGTGAGGCTCTTGAGATAAAAGCCCCTTGACTTCAGTTCAGTTGTCAGGTTGGCTGTGCAACTGCACCAGAGTGTAAGGGGCATCTGGAGCCTCTTCTTACATTCCCTGCACAGCGTACCTACATTGCCAAATCCTGCACAGCCTCCTGCATTGGTGGATGGAGCCTTGACTTCACACTCCCCTCACGATGCTATGGCCAGCAGAGCTGAGCAGGCAGAGACGAAGAAACAGAGGCAGATTCATGACTCTCTGAAGCTCCTACTCCATAGCTGTGCTGCCCCTTCCTCAGGATAGATTGCAAGGTGACAATCTGATCCCTAACGGGGAGGGAGATGGGATTTTTGAGGGATGAGTCATTGACTCTGAAATTTACTTCCCCAGTTGATTTACCAAAGCCTGATTTTTCTTTTTTTTTTTTTACTTTCTTGTCATGCTGCATCACTTACTGCTTCAAAGAAGAGTACCAAACTCATAAGAGGGAGGGGGAATGACCATTCGGGAAGGGGGAATTTGGGAGGGTTCATTTTTGAACATAAATATTGGTCCTATTATCTAATTTTTTTAAATACAAATTTCACATGGGCCCAGAACCCTGGATAGTCACAAACAAACAACTACATACGTACACAAAATAAACTCCTTGCGTTTCTGGAGTTCCCTCAGAGTGAATTGTGGAAGAAGAGATAATTTGTCACATCTACTGAGGTGAATTAGAAGAGGGTCAGGCTTATCTCTAGACTCCCTTGTTTTTAGTGAGAAGACATAATTATGTCATCCTATCATTTTTAAAGGTCTTATTTTTTCATTCATTGCCTTCTTACTATGGCGTAATTTGTAGGAGATACTTCTGCTATCACCACAAAGAGTCCTTCAGTGATGAAGTGCTCAGGCTTCAATCTCACAAACTGCTTGCCTTGCCTTCAGACATTATTACAATCAATATATTTTGCATTAGGATGTTATAAAGCAATGGAGTGGGAATGAGGGAGGAACTGGATGATTCTAGGCATAGAAAGACTGGACCAAATCCTGAGACAGCATAAATGTGTCAAATTCGAATGAAGTGTAGCCATTTAGGCAACTGTCAGTAAGGGCTTGTCTACACTTAACACACTACAGTGGCACAGCTGTAGTGTCAGGTTGCCCCGCTGGCTGAAGAAATCCGCCTCCCTGAAAGGCAGTAGCTAGTTGGATGGAAGAATTCCTCTGTTGACTTAAAACTGTCTACATGGGGAGTCTTAGGTCAGTTTATGTCACTCGGGATGTGGATTTTAGCTGGGTCAACCTAATATTCTAGTGTCAGGCAGGCCTAAGGCATTCACGTGGTACAACATGTGTACCCTGAGATACTTGAGCACCCTGTGGTGGTGTAAAAGGATCCTGAGTGCTCTTCAGTGGGGGTGGAGAGGCTAGGTCAGAAAAGGGACATGTCCTGTCAGAAAGACCATGTGTCTAAGTCAAAAGGCAAGATCAGCTCATCCCGCAGTGATTTAAGGGGGCGGGAAGGGAACTTAAGGCGATGATGTAAGTTAGAGTAGCCCTCCCAAGATACATTTGCACCAAAGCAACCAACAGAAGTGTCATGCAACACATCCAACCAGCCCCTCAAAAAAGACTTCAGTAAAACAACAGGTACTGACAAAGTACCCAGAACACCAAAATTACTGTATGTCAAAAATCCCCTTTGCTGAAATTTGCCATCTGGCACAGGGCATCCTTGGCCATACTATATCAAAAGCTGAAGCCAGGAGATAGCCAACCGCTAAAAGGAAGTGGTTTAAACCACTGCATAATATTTCATAGTCTATCAACCCAGCAGGTCACCAGGGAACATGGTAAAAAAAGAAAGCTGATGCAAACAGACACAGCACAAGAAACATCAACTTCGGCACATAACAAATGGCATCAGCAGGAGGGCAAACAAATCATAGGTTCTCAAAAGGATGCGAACCTAACACACAAGCATGCACCAGAGGCAACCAAAGCATTGCCAGTCAATCTGTGCCACCATCATAGGTATGGCATAGCATGATATTTCAGAAATTTCTCTACTGCATTCCTGCCTGCCATCTTTGCAGATGCTCCCAACCTTTCATTAATGTCATTAGTGCTATAGATCCTGTAGCCTTTGTCAATCTGCTAAAAGCAAACTGCCTTCTCTGTCAATTTTTCTAGCCAGCTAGAGTTAAACCACAAATTCACCTGGTGTAATTTGCCTTTGAATCACAGCAGGATCTCACTTTGTCACTCCAGGACACTCGCTTTAAATGCTGGAACAAATTTTCCAATGTAGATGCTTGCAGCTGTGCACTTAGAATTGTATGCATATAATTTATGATCACAGATGTGATGTGTATGTATAAAGTGAGTATTTGTGCATGAACTTAGTCAGCTTGGCACCCAACTAGCAAGTAACCATGTAAATACCTGATGCAGATACACCCATTGGGCATTTACATTCATAGATTAGACATGTGTGCAATCACATGTGCCTAAATTTGAACATCTGACCTGCTGTATTTTAAACTTACTGTACATTACTTTTACACACAATTTTCAGGATTGCATTTTCCACACTGAGACTATTATAGCTGTAAAAGGAAAAGATAAAATGCTCACTAAAATTGTGGGAACTGAAATAAGCAGGGGTCATGTTGTATCATAATTTGGGGACAGGAATTTAAGAGCTGATATCTTCCTAAAATTCAGACATGCCAGATTCATATGCGAGGTAAAGCCATTGAAAGCAGGTTTCAGAGTAGCAGCCATGTTAGTCTGTATCCGCAAAAAGAACAGGAGGACTTGTGGCACCTTGGAGACGAACAAATGGATTGGCGCATAAGCTTTCGTGAGCTACAGCTCACTTCATCGAATGCATGCCTTAAAAAAAAATCTGTACGAGTTTTTTCATGAAGTTGATAAATTTCCACTCCACACAGCTAAATTCAGTGCCTTGCGTAATGACAGGTTTCAGAGTAGCAGCCGTGTTAGTCTGTATCCGCAAAAAGAAAAGGAGTACTTGTGGCACCTTAGAGACGAACAAATGGATTGGAGCATAAGTTTTCATGAGCTACAGCTCACTTCATCGGATGCATGCAGTGGAAAGCCATGCTCCAATAAATGCGATCGTGTCTAAGGTGCCACAAGTCCTCCTTTTCCACTGAAATCAGCGGAGTTACACGAAGGATGAATTTGGTCCCAAATTGCATGTGGTCAGGAAGGCCACTCCCCTCTTCTAGCCCAGGGAGTTTTTTTAAATCTGAAAAAAACTGGTGCGTTCCAAGGTAAAGGGATTAAAATAATCAAATCTGGAACTCACTGCGACTGATTGTACCAAATTCATCCCCGCTGTGACTTCATTGAATTTGGCCAACTAGTCTTTATCGTTCAACTATTTTCGAGTTATTAAGTTTCAAGCTTTGGGAGCAGCATTCCTTGTAGAGTCAAAACATTGCAAACCTAGGGAGCCTAAAGCAAAGCATCTAAAGCTATATTTAGGTACTTCAATAAATGGCCTCATTTTCATGTCCAGTCTGCAGCTTCCACTGAAGGCAAGGGAGCTGAACATAATTCAGCACCTGTGAAAATCAGGTCAGACTTAATGTAGATGCCTGAATATGGGTTTAGGTTTCTAGCTTTGGAAACAAGTTTTGAAAATTTTGGCCTCTGTTTTTTAATAATCAGATGATACATATGTGCTATCACTTGTTAAATTCTAAACCAAAACAGGAACAATTTGCAGTACTGTATACCAAAGACAAATACTTCGAAGATATTGCTGTCTGTGGGTCTGAAAATTATGCTTCATCTTTGCTGAATGGTATTGAAAAACTAAAGCTAATTGACTAAGTTGAGGTAATCTCTGTAAAATCAAAAAGTACAAATACATTAAAAAATAGCAAATATCTTACCATAGGCCCTCGTGGTCCCACTGCCCCATGCTCACCCTGTGAGAAAGACATTCATATTAGTGATGAAGAGAAACTCTAATGTCTTGTTGGCTTGGTTAGTAATGGAGTGCAAGTGTCCCAAAAGAACTTGGTAACAGTATTAGCCTACCTTCTGCCCTTGTCGTCCTGTAAGTTCTCTTAGAGATCCATCTGCAGATATGATAACTCCTGGTTCTCCCTTTTCACCCTACAGTTCACATAATCATTTTGTGATGTTTATACAACAGTTCTAAACAAAGCTTTACTTGCAAAGACCAGACAGCTTCAAAAGGTCAGTGCAGCAACATCTTTGTTGGTTCAAAGTAGTGACAGGCTGATGGGAGAGATGGCAACTACAAAAAAGTGACTAGGGTGGATTTTAATTGGGGGGGGGGGGAGATGAGGGTTGTTTCTTTTTTAACCATGGTACAATAAAACAAAAACATCCTGCTCCTAAAAACCCTGAAAGAGAACCAAAATAATACAACAAGCCTTCCCTCAGCTAGTGCCCCTAACTGAAAGTGTAACATGAAACCTAAATAGCTCCCTGGCTGTCATCAAAGCAGAGGTCTTTTCTTCTAAACATTTGGAGCATGATGCTGTCCTATTACCTCTAGCCAATAAACTTTAGTCACCCAGAGCTGGGCGGTGAACCCCTTCGTTTCACTAGTAAGCTGCTCCCGCAAGGAGGGCTCCAATTCAATTCAATGGAACCAATCACGTGAATAACTGCTCTGCAGTGGGAGTAAGTGGTTCCCATTGTGGCCCTAGCAGCTGCCACCACCCACCCTACTGCAGCCAAGGCACCCTGAACAACCTGGTCCCACAACCTCAAAGTGAAGAAATTTGGCCTCTGGCTTGACACCAACCACTGCCCCGCTCACCACAGTAACTCTGCTGAATAGTCAGCTCAGTGCACTGCCATTCTACTGCATCTTCCCCGAAGCTTTAGAAATGTTTGAGTCATTCATACTTGGGCTCACAAGAAGGCTTGCCTTGATGCATTACTGACCCCATCTCCTGTTCAGTACTATGGACTCAGAGCCATGAGGAAAGTACCCCAGGGACCTCTAAAGGGAGTATTTCCCCAAATATTTATTCAATGGCCCACACTCCCAGGGGTCTTTCAGTTCTGCAGCCTGAGATCAGTAGCCTTAAAAACAGCTGCCATTCTTGGCTCAGGATCATTGAAAGACCATTGACGCTGTGGTCAAACACATTCCAGAAGATCAGCATGCCATCTTTCATTCACTGGCATGTAATTTCACAGTTAAGAGTCTAGTTTTGCTCCGCTCTGGGAACCTATTTCAGACTTTAATTAAACAATATCTACACCATCACATTAACTGACAAGAAATCAACATGAGCTACCTAAGAAAGCAAAGGATCAGAAGAGTGGTCTTTTGCTTTCCTTTTTCTCTTCTCTTCTCCAAGGCTGCAGTAGCCCAGTTGTTCCTGACCACCTGCTTCCTGCCCCCATTCCTCTCCCAACAATGCCACAATCCCAAACCTCACAGAACTAGAGTCCTCAAATCCTGCTCATTCTGTGTAGTGGGGTTCTGCTACAGGCAGGTCCTCTGCGCCCATGGAGGAGGGAGCAAGATTTGTCCTTCTATAATTTACATAGCCTTTTTGCTGTGCTTCCTTTTTCCTTCCTACGCCATTGGCATGGATGATCAGTTTACAGAAAAAGGTCACCTCATACCCAAAATGTTTAATGTTTACGCAGAGTCATTCTGACAATTGTGCAAAATGAAATGTAGAGTTTCAGCATCAGAGTCTGTATATTAGTCCCCAAGAGAATTTCAAGGTATTTTGTTTAATAGTGCTGATTTCCACTGACATTTCTTTTGAAACTCTAGTACCAACTCATTAATATCCCTGTGGAGAGCAAAATGTAAACCATAAAAGCAACAGAGTAATGCCACCAGACGTAAATGGTTTAACTCATTTCTGAGCATATTCATCTCTCTAGTGCACATGGGATGCTACTCATTCCTTCTTACCGGTTGTCCTTTTGGTCCTTGTAATCCAGTCAGTCCAATATTACCTTTTGGTCCCCTTGGGCCCTAAAAGGGTAAAAATAAAAGTCTTTTATAACTGGTTTGAATAAGAGCTTTTCAGATATCAGTTGAGAATAAGGAAGCACATTTTGATCAATTTAATTTCTTATAGTTGGAGATCTGAAACTTTGAATCACTCCAGTTTTAATTGTCCCAGGAATCTCCTTTCCCTAGTCTAAGGCCACTGCTATCTGCATCACTTAATTACAGAAACTATTCCCTACAGTTGTTCTGTGGAGAAAGGTTGGCTTGCATTTTGTGTTGCAGATTTCCCTTAAAAGTGCACTGAAAACCTTTTTTACCGTGCAAAAGCTGAATTCCAGTTTCTGTGTTTCTTCTGCATCAGTAAAGAACAAAACTGACAGCTAAAGCAGGATGAGAGTGACATTTAAGTCTTCACAATTATTCTAGTAACAATTAGGGATCTTATACAGCTTGTTACATTAATTTTTAAAAGCTTGTCCATTCATTTTATCCATTTCCATGCAGCCCACAAAACCCAGACCTACCTTTTGCCTAGATTATTCTGCCTATGGACTATGGAGCCTGGGATCCTGTACCCAAACCTACACGTTGAAACCATCAGTGGCTTTTGAAACTTTTGAAAAATTCTTATATTTGAATCCATAAACTAAATAAAATTGGTAGGGAGTTACAATTTGATCACAATAGACAGCCAGCATGATACTAAGGTGCTGGGACTTTGGTATTATATCATTTTGGAGAAGTCCTGTAACATTTAATGAGAAATAATTTTGCAGAGTTCTTTGTGTCATCCTATGGAATTTAAACAGGGTATTGTGTCCCTCTTATAGAATGTTATAGGATGGGCCAAAAAAAATTATAGAAAGGATATAATTCTCCATTAAATGCTATAGCTTTGAAGGTAATTTCTTTAATACCCTATTGATTTCATCCCTATTAAATTCTGTAGGACTTTTCTATAGGGACTAAACACTTATCAGACCTAGTTACAGATTTAAAATATGGCGCTAAACTGAATTAAGTCAAATGTTAGGTATAAATATGATACAATTTATGTACCAAAATGGATGATGCATCTTTTGACTTCCATTGAACAAGTGTTTATTTCTACAGTATTTGTAACATTCTGTCTAGTTTTACTCATTTCTGTCTAGTTTTATTCTCCAATTTGACATTTATGAGCTTTGAGAATTTGTCAGGCTTTGTATCAATTTTGTATGATTCCAAATGCTGAAACATTAATGAGCTCATTTCCATATTTAAAACTGACTTAAAACCTTAGAACATAATGCTTACAGGAAATCCTGGTAAACCGGGCCTGCCATCTGGCCCCTGTAAAACACAAAAAACCCACAAGTACATATTATAGTGTAAAGTGGATTGTGCAGTTTCTGTGTCTCTACTAGTTTGTGAACATTAACTATTTTTAATGGTATTCACATGCAAAATACTTCATTAAGGTGGTGTTAAGGTTGCAGACATGCAGCACTGTCCTATGCTCTCTCCAGAGCATAGAGATTAATTCTCAAATGTTGGAAAACCCAGGAAATGCAGAGAGTTTAGGTGACATTTCCCTCACAGTACAGCCACATAATATCTTAACTCTGCCCTCTCTGATCTGTGTCCTAAGGACATCATGGTACTTTACTCCTTCTTCAGCCTCTGCTAGCCTGCAGCAAATAGCTCATGGATCTGTGGTGTTGCACAGAGCACAGCAAGGGCCCGTTACACTGTGAATAGGAGACCTGATTGGGATTTGCGCTGGGCACAGAGGAAGTGACAGATTTGTTGAGGGAAGTAAGGTACTGTTATCATCCCAGTTGCTCTTGCCATCCCCAGGGGGTCAGACTTAAGGCTGAATGGCTGTGCTGTGTGTGAAGAGTCATCTGTATTGTCTTCTTAGTCATGGTGAGCTTGGCAGTCTACTACTCCCCCTGTTGGCTCTCCTTCCTTTTTAGGGAAAGGTCTAAAGCCTGGCTGTCCACTACAGGTAGCCATGGAGATTCTTGGGTGGGAAGCCCAAGGTTCCTCCTTCTCTCTGCAACCCTGTCAGTGATGCAGTATGGCCCACCAGATTCCCAGCATGCCTCCTCCAGACCTGTAACTGAAATATAACATGATATGCATTATATACACTACCTAGAATGCATTTTTGCTGCACAATATGGAAGATGCAAGTTACACAGCGGTTAGAATCCGCTATTGTGAGACATGCTAGACTGCACAAAGAGCTACTGCCAAAATTATAGGGGCCACTGGATGGGGTGAGCAGAAAAAGCTAAGAGACCACAAATGACAGGTTGCAGAGAAAGGGCTAACAAAGTCCGAAACAGAACTTTCCAGAATCTCAGAAAGGATTCAGCCTTAATCTGCTTCACGGGTGGACAGAAGTTTGCCCCTTGCTCCAATTAAAAAAAAATCAACTGTGTTCAAAACAAGAATTAAACATTTACTTTGGTAACAGGAGCTACCAACACACGCAATGAAAATAATAAAAGATACAGTTTGTTCATGTCAGATAAATTGTTCTAACAGGATATTCTGAGCATCTGGCATTTCTTGCCCCATTTGGGGAGACTTAGCCTCCAAGCCTCTTATACACACTGCCCAGGAGGTTTGTAAAGGTGAGCTACTCAAATCCATAAGACAAGTGGGCCAAATTCTACCCTCATATGTATCCCTACAGCTCCCACTGAAGTCAATAGAAAATGAATGTGCTGTCTTGACTTCTCCTCTAGACCAGTTTTTTTTCATCAAAAAGCAAAAAACCAAAAAACAACAACAACAACAAAAACACCAAGCAAAAAACAAACAAAACAAAAACAAAAAACCCACCCCAGCATAGCCTTCTTCCTCAAATGTGTCTTTTGGGACAACTAGTAAGGGGTTCTTAAATGATTCCCAGCCATTATTCACATGAAGCTTAGTTATCAAAGGGGGCGGGATCTGCAGGGAATAGCAATGAGCAAATCCAAAAACGTAACCTTAAATCAAGTCTGCTTTGCTTTGTATAAAAGCAGTGGTGCAAAGAAGCCTGAGCATACTGGTGAATCTAGCCGTTGGAGCTTGGAATCAGTTCAGAGAAGCATCCAGAATTTCAGATGTTTAACTGAACTCTCCTAAACTCCTGGCTGAAAAAAACAAGCCCAAAATCTTGTATCAATAGTTGTCTCATAAGATTTCCATCTCTTTCAGTCACAGCTAGAAATGCCATGAGAACAGCCTCATTTGCAGTAGTTCAGGATTTCTGATTCCAGGCTCAGGCAGAAATGAACAAAATCTTATCAGAACACTTCAGGACCCTAAAAACAAACTAACAAGCAAACAAAATATCTGGTCCTAGAAATGGATGCAAACTTAGTAGGCTTTTATTTTTTTCTGCACCAATTCTCCTCTTCCAGTTAGGCAGACATCTGTCGTTCAGGGTCAGAGTTTGGCCCATCTCTAATTCTTTTCTTTATAATACATTTTACACAAATGTAGGGAAGTTAATTTACCAACACAGGATCCAGTTCTGTTCTCAGAACATGTCTCTCTACATGTCCCACAGAAGTCAGTAAGGAGTGTGTGTGTGTGTGTGTGTGTGTGTGTGCGTGTGTCTGAAGAACAGGGAGGTGGGCTTTGCATAGTACTTAAAGAGAAGCACTGAAGTATGAAACAAATCCTTGCATTTAATAAGGCAGAATATACTCACTGAAGGCCCAAGCAGTCCTTTAATTCCCGTAAAATTAGAAATTCCATCCGTATCATTGAGAAGTAGCTAAAAAATAAGGACAAAGAACAGAGTATCTCAAATATTTAATTGGTTCTCTGGGGTAGACACATTTCTAGAAATGCACAGACAGCTTACAAAATCCTGTAATAACTATGGAGATAGAAAATGTAGACCTGGCTATTGGGAACATTCTTTGCTTTTTCCTTTGGTGTCATGTATTTGGAATACCACTACTTCGCATTTTTATTACACCTTACATTAACGATCTCAGAGTGCTTTGCAGACATTACAGAGCTGAGTATCTATGTCCCTGTGAGGTAGGAATCCCTATGTTACAGATGAGGAAACAGACACAGAGGGGTTGTGACTTGAGATCATATTTTCTCTATAGGATGAAGATTAAAATAAGTGCTTTAGACCCCATGCTTCAATGCTGAGTGGGTGTTGGAGTCTGAGGCTATGGCTACACTTGCAGATGTAGAGCGCTGGGAGTTAAACCAGCCCTCGGAGACAGCAGCAGGGAAAGTGCTGCTGTGTGTTCACACTGTTAGCTGCAAGCGCAGTGGTGTGGCCACATTAGCAGCTCTTGCAATGCCACAGAGAGAAGTGCATTGTGGTAGCTATCCCAGTGTGCAAGTGGCTGCAGAGTGCTTTTCAAATGCGGGGGGTGGTGGAGTGTGACAGGGAGTGTGTTGTGTATATGTGGGGTGAGAGAGTGTGTTTTGGGGGGCAGAGTATGTCACCATGCTGTCTTGTAAGTTCAGACAGCAGCAGGGGGAAGGGGGAAAACCCTTGACATAAGCCCCCACCCCCTGCCTCTCTCTCACACACACACACGCACAAACGCCTGCCTCTGCAACAGGCGCATTCCATACTAATGTTTTGCTTTGTGTCCCGGAGCAGATAAGCATGCCGGATGTCAGAAACGGAGCTTTGAAAGGGGATATCCACATGCCTGCAGCTGAGTACAATGACCAGAACGGCCACTTGATTTAAAGGGATTATGGGATGTTTCCGGAGGCCAATCACAGTGCAGTAATGCAACACGTCATCCACACTGATGCCTGAGCATTTCAGCCAGGGCGCAGCAAGCTCTATGTTTCTCGTGGAGGTGGATTACCAGGGGTGCCTCAGGTGCTCTACGTGCCTTGCCAGTGTGGACACCTCAGGAGTTAGGGCGCCCGGGGCTGATTTAATGTGCTTTAACTTGCAAGTGCAGCCAAGCCCTCACTGTGCACATCTCATTGCAGGATTCAGGCTCTAATGACATTTTGTTCCTATTTCATTTTGGTTTCGGACAGCTTCTTTACAGATTGAAATTATTTCCCCCATAGTGTATAATGCAGTCATACTTTACAGTACAGCAGGATGGTGACAGCTTGATTTTGTAAACTATCCATATATGCCTTTTACATAGAAGAAACCCTCTAACTCATCCTTATTCAGTTTTTCCTGATTGCTTCATTTCTTTCACTTTCTTCCTGATAGTCCCATTTGCTTTAAAAAAACATATCCCTACTTTGCTCTCAAATATGTCTTCACACAGACTTTAACTTGTCCAATTTGTCTTCTGATTTGTATATCATTCTTTCATCTAAGCAAGCAACTCTATCCACTCCAGACTCAGATTGCGTATGTTGTAAAACACATCCTGTGTAATACCAGCACTTGAACTCCAAACCACCATCCCTTGCTATACCGGCTACAGACACAGTGTTTTGAAAATTGCTGTTTGCAAGAGGGTGGGTCAGAAAAGGAAAAGCAGAAGAAAAATCTCCTTTGACCATCACATCAGGGGACATTTATAGCCACTGAGCACTAATACATACAATGAATTGGGCACATTCCAGATTCACTTCCCTCTAGGTGTGGTGCAGCCTCCTAAAGGATGTTGTTCTTTGCTGGATGCTGCTACCTGCCTCCTTTTTCTTCATATGCCACAATATGTGCAAAGATGGGTGCCAAATATTAGGAGCTGAAATTCGTATGTAGGCACCTGGAAACCTATTTGAGGTTCATGTGTCAGCACTCTGCCCCTGAGGAGAGCAGCATCAGACCCCTGTGCAGTTTGCTGTGGCCTGGCTCCCAGTGTAGCAGAATCACATTGGTTCCACTGTATTCCAGGCTCTGTGTCCCTCCAGACAGGGGGCAAGATGTGTGCTAATTACTTCAATTATAGTAATAAAAGCATTCCGCTGTTGCAATTGTTCTGCCATATCTTCAGTTGGTGGCAGAATTCCAGGAGCCCTGAGGTTACACAATCCTTTTGAATTACTCAGTATTTAACCATTCACTTTGGGACTGATCTAGAGACTATTGAAGTCAATGGAAAAACTCTGATTGATTTCAACCTGCTTTGGACCAGACAATTTGTGTACAGTGTAAATGATCTGTAGCCTCAAGCCTCAATTAGACTATATGTGTGTCAGGCAAGCACACGCATTTTAAGCAATTCTATAGCTATATGAAAATACAGAGTACAGAGATGCCTATCACATAGCAGACTCCTCGTCTCTCCATTCCGCTCCAAGTGTAGTCATTTGCCCTGTTTTTTTGGTTTGTTTGTTTTGCAAGCAACTTTCACAGTGATAATGCAGCAATGAGACCGCTTGCCATTTCATGTCAGCCTTTTGAGACCATATCCTGGGCCGCGAGTGCTGCCTAAAACATGGGACTTTCTTTTTTTACTAATATGTTGAAGTAACAATAACATTCGTTAGCTTTACTGGTTAATGGATTCTTGGATTTTAAGTACATTATGTGTGGAGCTTTCAACTGCTCATCCCATGGGACATTAAAATACTAGAGGCAGAATTGCTAAAAGAACATAATGCAAAAATCATTTAAATTTCTTTTCTATTTCCTGGATCAGACTCTCTCCATTCCTTCCTCATTAGTTTTTTGGACATTAAATATGACGGATCAATGACTGAAAAAGAAAGTTTGCTGCTCACTTTCCCCCGCATTGGTTTCTACTGAACTTTACGGTGGGGAAAGGGGTGGGGGAGCAGGGGATTTCAGTAAAGCATCAATTACAGTTTTACACTGAAAAGACAAATGGTATAAATGTTCTACCAAAGGACAAGTGTGACTTACTGGCCCTTCAAAATGACCAAAATGTAAAAGTTCCCAGAGCAAAATAGCCTAAATGATATAATCTGATCACATTTTAGCATTTCATATCAATAAATTACAACAAACTGGGAGAAAAAAACCCTTTTGTATTGGGCTTTGGATTGACAAATGTGTGGTGAATGTCGGACAGAATTCAGAAGAAAGGAATGTCTGAACAACTGAGACTCTCTTTGGGAGATGATGATGAATTTCTGTTGCAGTAACTCACCTGGGCTCCAATCACAACAATTTGAGGCCCTATTGTGCTGGGCACTACACAAACACACACAGGTCCTTCCCTGAATTGATTGCAATCTAAGGCTCCAATGCTGCAACTTATAGACTGCAGTGACTGAGGTGAATGGCGCTCGTGTATTATCAATTTCAAGACCAGAGCCCAATTTCCTTCATCCATTGTCTACCCAGTAATATCTATCTACTACACAAATAATAAAGTTTCAAATATAGAAAAAGAATGCTATTGTGATGTTGCGCTAGCACGATGGTTTAAATTGCCAAACTGACTGGCAGAAATTGGCACGGCTCTGGCACGTCTGCTTGCATTAGGTCTGCTGTGTGTCCAGTGCTACTGATGCTTCTGGATGTTTTCCTGTGAGGCTGAAATAGCAAAATGTACAGGGACGCTATAACTCTCTAGCTAAGAAAACCTCTATAGAGCAAAGTTAATACGTCTTGTATAAATACACCGGCTATTATTGGATCAAGCCCCACCTGGTCTCTCCCCTACATCATCCTATATAGAATCAACCTCCTCCAAATTCACTGTGCTTTCAATGCCTCAAAAAAAAAAAAAATAATCAGACAACTAATAGTGGATAGGTTGAGAGCTAAATGGGGACAGTTATCACTTACTTTGTCTATTTATAATAACAGTTTGTTGCAAATGCACAGAGAGTTGAATACATTTATTTTTAACCCGCTCTTTCACCTCATATGTCATTTGTCTTCCTAGACTACAAGGTCTCTGGGGCAGAAGCTAGGTTTTTGTATATATGTATCTGAACAGCATGTAGCATAATGCGGCCCCAATTGACCATGGGGCCCCTGGACACTACGGTAATATATAGTGAAGGTATTTGATACAGGAATCTTGGACAATAGAGAGGACACACAATACATTTCCTCGGCAGTAGTTAATCACCGTATTAATGTGTGGCAATTGTGAAGTGTGTGGAGAAGCTGCTTGGCCTCCAGCATGCTAACATTGTGATCTGTGTCAGCTTCAGGGATGCTTGGCACTTCACTCACACATAAGTGCCTTCCACCTGACGATCTCATAATCCTTTACAAACATTAACAAACTGAACCTCAAAATATCCATCTCAAGGGGGCATGGTTATCAAACAAAGGCAAACGATGTTAAACGTCTTGCCAAAGAAGATCACCCAGAAGCATTGTGGCAGAGCTAGGAAGAGACCTTAGATCTCCTGAGTTTCAATCCAAGGCCTATACCACCAGATCATCCTTTTACCTGAAGGCTATTAAAAAGCTGCCAAAAATGAAAGCAGAAACTGGATGAAACACATAGCATTAATTCCTTCATTCACCCAGGGTTTTTGAGCCACTTTCAAGATAACATGTTCATTCCCGTCCTGCAAAGAAGCTACCCAAACTCCTTTGGGGCTTTGGTTGCCATCATTAGGGACCCACTTTCTGCCACAATTATTATCACTGTCAGAACCTCGTTGCTTTAGTCAATATAAAATGTAAAGTCTGAGTTAGCTTTCTGACTTTGTTATTGCCTAGCTCCTATCATGCAGATTCCTCACCTCTGATTACAAGCCTTGGCAGACTGCAGCTAACCACCTGACTTCTCTCAAACAAAGAGAATCCTTCAGAGGGTAAGATTACATGGCTCTCCTGAGTGAACAAGGTTCCTGTAGCCATTCATAGCTTCTCCAATTCCCAATGTCATACCAAATTGACTACACAGACTTTTGTAATAAGTTTGCAATTTGGTTCATCTAAACTTCTAGGCTTCTTTTTTCCTACTAGTATTATCTATAACCTAAAAGCCTGAAATACACTAAGCAAACCCCATTGAAAATGTGTGTGGTGTGAAAGGACGTGCAGCTCTCTGAACCATCTTTCACCAGCATGCTCTTTGACACTTGCTGATACTACTTCAGCACAAGAGCTATTTCTTCGGTTTGTATGGTATACACCTGGTAGAAAGCATGGTGGAGTCTAGACACTACTGCAGTTTGATTCCAGGCATTGCTGGAGTCACAGGGTGTGCCTATACTGCAATTAAGACATCTGCGGCTGGCCCGTGCCAGCTGACTCAGGCTTGCGGGGCTCGGGCTAAGGGTCTGTTTAATTGCGGTGTAGACATTCAGGCTCTGGTGGGAGCCCAGGCTCCAGGTCCCTGTGAGGTGGAAGGTTCCCTGAGCTCAGGCTGCAGCCCAAGCCCTAACAGCGTCACCAAAATTAAACAGACCCTTAGCCTGATCCCCATGAGTCCAAGTCAGCTGGCATGGGCCAGCCATCGGTGTCTAAATGCAGTGTAGTGTAGACATGCCCACAGAGGCCCCTTTACTTTATACTTCCTCTATTCTGTATTCCCTAATTAATTTTTCTTCATTTTTATGGCTTCTGCAGAGTCAACTGCACATGTTAAGAGAAGCAAACACTGTTCTGTTAGAGTCTTCACTCATTTTACTGCCCTTTTTCATCTTTTTGTCGTGGCAAGGTCATGGGTGACCAGACGTAGTAATGGGAGCCAGAGTCCACAGTCACAAGACAGAAGTGGAGTCAGCTGGGTCAGGATAGTGGGAAGTCAAAAGAAGGAGCCAAACTGGAGATCAGAACCACGAGTTGGGAACCAGAGTCAGGCCGGGTCAGGATACCAGAGGCTCAGAGGCAGGAACTAAACTGGAGGTCAGGAGCCACAAGTAAGATGGCAGGAGGCAAGCTGCAGGAGGCACACAGTCCAAAGCAGGGTGAAATCCAGTTGTTCAGACAGCTTCCTGTTCCAGCTGCTGGCTTAAGTAGGGCCAGTGGGCCAATCAGCTGCTCTGGCACTCTGCCAATTAGACATTGGGGCAGAGCCTAACAGTGGAGCTAGGTTTCCTGCGTCCCAGGTAATCCATTGTCAGCAGGCTGTGAGGTGGAGGGTTGGAGTGTGGCTGTTCCCATAATCCTACAGGCTGGGTTTGAGACACATGGGTCATGACTTAAAACTATGATTGGACAAATGTGTGTACGTGGAGGGGGATTAGGTGTAGACATTCATTGCAGATTTTTCTCTTTCAGGGCTGTATCTATGACCTGAACATCAACACCAATACCAGTTGTTCTTCCCTGCCATGTAACTCTAGATACATTTTAAGGACAGTAAAGTTCTTAACACTTTACAAAGACACTTACCTGTGGTACTGCTATGATTGGCCCTGGTGGCCCTGGTGGCCCTGGTGGTCCAACAATACTGGCACCATCCCGTCCTGGTTCACCCTATTTCAATAGTAGTACAGATGGAAAGGCCATTTATTAAACACCAAATCCCCAGTAACAATTCAATTAGAAAGAAATTGATCCCATCTTACCTTGGATCCTGTGTCACCCTTGTCCCCTTTGGGACCCTGCATGCAATTTAATAAAGGAGTGTTAACAATTTACAAGGGAAAGTTGTGATAATACTTTCCCTCCCACCATGAGGGAATAATGTTCACGAAGGGCTTGATCTAAAGTGCAGTGAAGTTGATGGAAAGACTCTGGATTGCAATGGGTTTGGATCAGGCCCTAAGTGTATATTGGTTCTGAATGTTTTCAGTAATTTCTACTGCCTTTGACAGTATAAAAGTATGATAGAGGGCTGAGAGAACAGAGAGGAAGGAAACAGAGAGAGCTAGTATTTTTCACATACAGCACTGTATTTTTTTCCTAAGAGAATCCAAGCATTAGATTTATTGAAGGGTTCACAGGTGGGTCTCATGCTGATCTATTATGCATTTTTATGACCCTAAAAATTATATTTTAACAGAAAGCTGATGTATTAAAAAGAGTAAACCAAAAACCTTACTTTTTGTTAGAGTTGATACTGCTTTTTCCATTGGTAATAAAAACATAACACTTTGCAGTTATATGGTACTTGATTTCTATACCTCAGAGTTATTTACAAAGGTGGGTAGCACTTTATAGACAAGGGAGCCAAACCTACAGTTGGTGAAAATCAGCGTGGATTTACACCAGCTGGAGTTCCAGCCCAGATAATGTGAGAGACAAAGAGGTTTAAGTGACATGCCCCAGATTAAAGAGTAAACTAGGGTCAGAATCAGATTTCCTGTTTCCCAGCCCTGTCTTCAATCAACAAGATTACATGTGCCCCTGACACAAATGTGTAAATATTTCACTGAATAATAAATTCTATTGAACTAGGGTGACATTGCTAACTTAAACTAACATAAGCCAGGAAATTTAGAGTTAATTTACTCAGTTGTTCCTACATTTAACACAGAATAACCCCAGTTAATGACACTTTGTACCATGAGCGCTGCAACTCTCAACAGTGAACACAAAGTGTCACTCATGACCATGTAGAGAAAAGAAACAAGCACGGCTGTAATGGCTTAAAGTAATCCAGAGTAGGGATGTGCATGAGGTGCAGGGTTTGGGGCAGGTCAGCTCCTCCTTCAACCTCTATAACTTCCCTTCCAATGGCCAACTAGCCATCTGGCAATTTCTGCCTCTCTCTAGCTCTCTTGTGCCGGAAAGCTTCCCAAGGATCCGTAAGTCCTCTCCTTGCTGCTAGGCCTGAGCTGGCTGATTGATTTATAATTGGGCTGGTTTAAATTTTTCTTAAAAACAGAAAGCAACCAATCCACATTTTTTAATGAAGCAACTATGAGCAAATGATTTCTAACATTTCACTTTCACCTGTTGGGTTACTGAGTTAAACACATACGAACGTTTAAAACCTGCAAGCTTCTATTTTTCTCCTCTTCTAACTTAAAAAATGACACTTTATTTCAGAATGTATGCAAACCAAAAAAGCATTCGTAGGCCGACATCTTTTCTGCCAAGTTTCAATACAGAGTGAATTAATTGCCAGTTTACAATAGAAATGCTTAACAATATTGGTGCTTGCAGATTTCTCTAGAAGCAGGAACTTACCAATACATTTAAAAATGTGTTATACCAAAGAGTCTCCGATTTTTTCATAGTGTGGATCATGTCCAACTATACAGATTGCTTTGTGGACACCACCCTTCCCATTGGTGATACAATTGCCGACTGTTGCAATTACAGTTAATTGTTTACATGGTAACGCAACAGCAGGAAAGCATCATGTGTATTTTCAAGCTTCTGGTGCAGCTGGATACATGGATAAAAGCCAGCAAAATGTGACCAGCCATCTCTCCATGGACCACTAGCATGTGCTCTGGGAGTTACTGGTAGTCCCTGGACTAGTTTGGGAACAAATGTGCTATGTGATCACACAAAGAAAGAGTATGGTGGTACAACTCACTACATCTCCAGGACGTCCAGCAACACCGGGAAATCCAGGTTTTCCATCTGCACCTTGCTCACCCTATCAAAACAGAAATACATATTCTATTATTAATTTTAAATTCAATGCAGCATCTATGGTATTCTATCAGCTTTCTAGAAAGCTGCTCAATTATTCCATTGGAAAAGTTTTAAACATCACACAGTAACCAGTCATTTTAAAAAAAAATCAATCAGCTAATAAAGCAATTAAGAAAGCAGCAGACATAAATAGAGCTGTACTTTCTGCATTTGTTTCTTTATGTTGCCCACATTGTTTCAGGGGAGACAAGAATCACCACACATAGCAGCCAATATGTGAGATTTCCTCAGTGAAGGAGGTGGCACTGTAGTTTTAAAATGTAGTTTTGCTTTTTGGAAGGAATTTTTACGCATTTACAGTACTATGCTCAACAAAACCTCTTAAAAGAAAAAGAAAGTTGTAAAGATTCTAAATCTGCCAGATGACCCTGGTTGTGGCTGCCATCCTGGATTCTCTACACAATAGAAGGACTTAAAGATGATAGTTTATAAAATTTGAAATCTCCATTTTTCTTGGTACAGCACCAATAACCTTAACAGTATTGATGTTTCTGCTTCATTAAGAACAGTTTCTACCCTTTTATCACCTCACCTTTCCTCTGCCACCAGCAGAGTATGTTACTGAAGAACAAATGGACACTTCATTAACGGTGGGTAAAGTTTTCAAAAGAACCCAAGTGACTTAGGAGCCCACATTCCATTTTCAAAATGGTGCTTGGGAGGCTAAATCTCATTGAAGGTCAATGGGGCTTAGGTGCCGACACTGTAACCAACCAACCTACCCACCTGCCCCATGGCAGCAAGTCTTAGAGCCTAGATCAAGGGATTGAGTGACGGAGCTAAAAATAGCAGTGTGGACTTTCCTGCTGGGGCTGGAGCTCGAGCTCTGAGCCCCTCCCACCACTCACTGGGTCTCAGAGCTCAACTCCAGCTTGAGCATGAACATCTACACTGCTATTTTTAGCCCGTAAGGAGAGCCTAGTCAGCTGACTTGGACTCTGAGACTCGCTGCTCTGGGGTTTTGTTTTTGTTTGTTTCTTTGCAGTGCAGATGTACCCTTAGGTACTTCTGAAAATGTTACCCATTTTCTCTTAAGTAGCCACATGAGGTAAACTTCTCTAAAACTGTACAAACTGGTTCAATAATGTTTTAGCAATTTTACAAATGAGAAAAGAGTCTGTAGCCCATTTCCTATTTGTTAGTGAAATTCACTTCATCTCTGGAAAGCCCAAGCAGGTTTTGTATGCGCAAAGTGTGTGAAACACCGGGGGCAGAGTTGGATGAAAAACCTGCAGAAGTCCTTCCCTATCATTTGTGTGTAACTGCATTTCTGTAATCACAGATCTCAGGGAATCTCCACAGGCTAGCTCCCTTCTCCACCTACTGCACCAGCCTATATGGGGTGAACAGGACTTCCTCCACAGCTTGCGGATGTCTGTAGGCTGTTACCCAGCGTACATGAGGGGTGCTATACAGCTGCATGGTGGTGCTTTATCAGTGACTCACCAACCGTAAGGTTGAGACAGAACAGAGGGTCTTGGGGACCTCCTCAACAGGGTAAGTTTCACCCATGTGCAGATGAAATGGGTTAGGACTAAGAGGACTAATAGTTAGGACTAAGAGCTGCTAATTCACTTCTTGTTGGAACAAATGTTCAATAATTTCACCAACTCTTTTTCTTACTCAAGTTTAACTGGGAAAGAAAGACATGATTTTAGTTAACATAATTCACACTGTAAATAGGACAGTATGGCCATGTCTCATTTTTTAACATTATTCATATCTTAACATCTTTTAGGCTATGTTTACACTACAGACCTTATTGCTGCTGTAAGGTCTCCCATGTAGCCACTCTATGCCAGTAGGAGAGAGCTCTCCTGCCAGCATAATTAAACCACTCCCAATGAGCGGTGGTAGATATGTCGGTGGGATAGCCTCGCCTACCAACATAGTGCTCTCCACACCAGCACTTTTGTCAGTGAAACTTATGTTGGTCAGGGGTGTGTTTTTTCAAATCTGTGACCGACAAAAGTTTTGCCAACAAAAGTATTAGTGTAGACAAAGCCAAACATTATATCACTCCTGAAACCAGCATTTGTTTGGTGTCCTCTAGATTTTTATTTCTGCTCGTCTTACTGGACACTTGAAAACTCAGTCCCTGTAAACAAATGAAAATAAAATAAAAATACCAACACCCCCGCACACACACACAAACACATACTTCTTTCATTCCTACTGGGCAAAATTTTAAGGTTCCAGAACTGTACGTTATTCAGCTCTAAGAGGACGAGTTATCTGCCAAGGTAGTTTTATTATTTATGGACTGAACCGATTGATTCCGATAGCTTATTTTTTAAGTAGCTTTGCAGTCACCTCATTCACAATAGTTATGCCCTTTAGAAATATGCTTTAAAACACTATTTATCACAACCACATAACATCATTCAGTAATAATTACTGGAGGAAGGGCCATAAAGCAGAACACTTTCTTCAACAATTGTTCACACAAGGAAATGAGTTAGATCCTTGAAGAAATCAAAAGAGCTCAAGACAACTTGCCTACACATCAGTACATTGTCTTTAATTAGCATTCTGGCAAATGTCTTAGTGAAATGTGTTTTTAAGAAATGTATTCTCTGATTGCACAGAAATGACACCTCCATACAGATTGCTGCGAATTCAAAACATGTACAGCAGATGGAATTTATAACAAGCAGCAGCCACTACATTATGTTGTTTTATTAAAATTAAAACAAGCAGGTGTGTTATGATAAAACTGTGATAAAAGTTAAGCAAACAGAGGTTCATATTAGTCATTGCTTTAATCCAGTTTTCCACCACTGTAACTCTGTTGATTACACTGGAGTCATACTGGTGTAGTGTACAACTGGAGTAACTCAATAGTGAATCAGACCCAGAATATTTTAAACATCACATATCAGTCAACAGATCACATAGTTTACAGACAACAATAATTCAACTCAGGTACTTCAAAACATCCCTGGGAATTGTGTGTACGTGTATAATTAGAATTCTGCCAATATAATCAACATTTACCATCATTTTAGTACATCAAGAGAATAACTAAGCAGAAGAAACAATGCATTTGTAAATCAAGTTAAATGAGTTCCCCACCTTTAAACCTGCTATACCTGGTGGACCAGTATCCCCTTTTTCTCCCTGAAATGCAGATACATAGGTCATGTTAAATATCAAAATGCAGTACAACTACAGTGATTAAAAAAAACCCTTGCTTGTTTAGAATTAAATAAAGTGCTCTCTTCAGCTCTGCATTACTACAGCTTTATGGTGGTGTAACTCCTCTTTCCTTACAGAGAGAATGGAAATACTTTGATTTCAACAAAGTTACACCAGTTTAAAATAGAAATAATCATAGAATATCAGGGTTGGAAGGGACTTCAGGAGGTCATCTAGTCCAACCCCCTGCTCAAAGCAGGACCAATCCCCAATTTTTGGCCCAGATCCCTAAATGGCCCCCTCAAGGATTAAACTCACAACCCTACATTTAGCAGGCCAATGCTCAAACCACTGAGCTATCCCTCCCCCATTGCATTGATGAATCAAGCCCAAGACATAATGAGTTTGTTTGCTGAAAATATATTCTTTTAGGAATGCTTTTACTCATGATAATTAGACTTCACTGGCTTCTGGTGGAAAAAGAAGTTTTTCATAATAATCAATGATCTCATTATCCATAAACACAGATTTTAGATATGTATTTATCAGCTGGAAACAGAACACTAAGGTCACTGTGGTAGATGACCGCACCTGTGCTATGAATTAAAGTCACATCATTGATCTGGGATGGATAGCTCTATCTAAAAATATGATGAGTTATGTTGTACTAAACTTATCACTTAGTTGAACATTAAACTCCATGTGATTTCTAGTTGGATTTCTAGAGCCTTTTGTCACTCAGAGTAGGTGAAAACTGAATTTTGCTTCTGGCTTCACATGGTAATGAAAATCAGTTTCATCTGTGAAAAGTGGGTGAAAAACCCTACAACTGGCTCAGAATGGTGACATTGTACATCTACTTTATACCCACTTTGCACTGGAGTAAATTACTTCATGAGGTACAAGGCAATGGAAAAATCAGGCCCTTTCATTGTCTGGGCAGGAATCACTCAAGAGCTGCCAACAAAAGGCTTGTTATAAATGGGGGGTAATAGTCAATGTGTTAAAATCCATAAAGTGATTCACAGGATTCTACGCACATCCCATTAGTATCTGAGACCCAGAACCTCAAAGATATTTAGGTGTCTAGCTCCATGGAAATTAGGCATCTAAATACCTTTGAGGATCTGGGCCTGAGTGCCTCACAAATAAATGAATTTATCCTAACAACACCCTTGTGAGGCAACCATTATCCCCATTTTACAGATAGGGAGGTGAGGCATAGAGAGATTAAGTAACTTGCCCAAGGCCACATAGGAAATCTGTGGCAGAGCTGGAAATATCTTGTAAATCCCATGCCAGTTCTTTCACCACAGACCATCCTACCTTGCTTCTATCACTGTGGTTACAAGGGGTGGGTCTTTTGGAAGACAAAAAGGCAGGTTTTTCTATAAAGCACAGAGTCACTTCCTGGAACTTAGACACCCAAACTTAGACATCCTTTTGGGAGCTATAACATGTAACCTTGAGCTAACAAAGGACAAAGAGGGATTGCACTGAGCCAAAACACAATGGGATAAAACAATGAATTTCTCCTGCCATACTTCCAATCCTTCCAACCAAAAACACCTATTATTGCCCATCTAGTGATATTTTTAGTGATATTATTCTAGCATGTTTGCATTATGATTCCTCTCTTTCCTTATCCAACAAGTGTAGCTTTAAGACATCCTGAACTGGATTTGTGGTGATTGCTAGTCAGGATAAGCAAGGCTGGATGCTCTGACTGAAGAGTTCAGAGGAAACTCTACAAGGGGAACCTCATGTTGTTTCCTAAGTCCTATTCAGGACCTTACAGAGTATGAGCATGATCTGTCCCTGAGTATCCCAATTTGCAGAGGTGGTGAGCCCCTGCAGCTTTCTTTGACTTCCATAGGAATTGTGTGTGTGTGCAGCATCTCTGTAATCAGGCTACTTACGCAGGTGCCTAAATATGGACTTAGGTGCCTACCCATAGGCTCTCAAGTTAGAATGTTTTGGCCTTGGTGTTTATTTATTGTGATATTGTACAATATGTACCATATAACTAGGACCCTTGGCTTGCAGTTTTTACTGAAAACCTCCAAAAAATTCCTGGGTTTTGAAAAAATCAGTATTTGGATTTTTCAGCTGCTCAAATTCCCCAGACCCAGCTCCCCCCCTCACTGACTCTTTGCTGGCCTCCTCAGCATGCCTGTACAGAGGAGTACAACTGCCAGTTGGTGGCTATCTCAGCTGCACAGTGGGGGGAGCAAGAATGGCAGGGAGACTGTGGAGATCACCAACTGCTGTAGTGACAGGCCACAAGGAGAGGAAAGCTGTACCCCTGAGCACTGGCCCCTCCTGATCCCAGCCCATCAGCGTGGCCCCAGGGCATACAGTCTCGTCCCCTTCCCTCCACCCTATCTTGCAGGGCACCCCTTTCCACCCATCTCCCTCCCACCCATTGCAAGTGTATCAGGCAACCCGTTCCCCAATAGGCACCTGCTTCCCCAAGATGGCCGCTGTGAGCAGCTGGGCTTAGAAACATGTTACTACTCAGAGAGGAACCCCAGGGCACAGAGCTGGGTCCACTTCACCAGCTGGACAGAGCCCCCTCCTGTCCCTGGGCTAGTAAGAGACCACACCAATCCCCCCATGGGACCAGGGAGTGAGCTGAGAAGTGCTGAGACTCTTTGAAAGAGCTGCTGGGAGTCTACGTGAGCCGGGACTTTTGGAATTCACACTGAAGACCTTATATCAAGTGTAACTGCTCAAGTCAACAGTAAACTGTTTTGTAAAAACGAAGGTTTTTTGCAATGGGGATATAATGGTTTCATAAACAATAAACTCATGTTCCTCTAAGGGCAAGTATACATGTGCAGTGCCGCAGCTGTACCATACAGCTGGTGTGGTGAAGACCTTCTGTGCCGATAGAAGACAGCTCTCCCATCGGTATAGCTCTGTGCACACTAGCGCTTATGTTGGGGTAACTAATGTCACTCAGGGGAGTGGAATATTCACACTCCTGAGTGACATAAATTTTGCCAATATAAGTGGTAGTGTAGACATAGCCTAATTGTTGCTTTCTTTCTGCCCTCCCAACCCCAATACTAAACCTGATATTTACCTGGAAAACCATGATGTTAATTTTTTGCATTGATTTTCACCCGTTTTTAAATTCTTGAAATAAAAACTGATAAATTCCTGGAAAATTAATAAATAAATACAATTTGGAAATGAAAGGCCTTACATATAGCATTTAACTACATGTTTAGCAAAGCATGCAGGGCAAAATACTGCTTTCACTACTCTGGTGTAAATGTGGAATAACGCCATTAAAGCAAACCCCAAAATTACATCCTTGCTATTGAAAGAAAAATTTGGCCCATAGTATTTAGGACATGTCAATGTTGGTCAGAAAGCACTTTTTTTGTTTGTTTTTTAAAAAGAGAAAGCTTTGGTGCAAAAGAACAAAAGCAAAAGTGACCTGAATTACTCTAAATATGGCAAACCAAAGTCGAAAATGGAAAATACAAAAATACGCTGGCTTTCAAATGTAGTTTGTTATATCAGTTACCTTTGGTCCCATTGGCCCACGCTGTCCAGTCTCCCCAACAGGACCCTACAAAGTATTCCGAGTTTACTGATATATCAATATATAATTTCATATTAATTTTTTCTCAGTAACAAACAAGCTAACAATCACAACCATGGAAAAGTCTTTTAGTAGCAGTTTCAACAGAAAGTATTAAAATGCAAATTTTTTTAAGATATTTTGAAGTCTATCTGTTTAATATTTTCTTGTAATAGGCAGAGTATATAGTGATAGTTATATTTAAAGTTGCCCAAGTGTTTCCATTCTAAGGAGTTGCTTATAATTTTTTTCAATCACTTACCTAACTGGCTGAAATTCTGGAGGTATGTTCTCAGCCTGGGAGCAGTATTTTTGAAAAGTTTAAATCAAAATGATGTTGCCATTTTTAAGATTGGGGAGAATAAAAAGAAATATACTTTCCCTATTATAAAACATATCTTTGTGACCCTTTTTTTGAGCAGCCCGGGGCTGGAAGTGGTGTTAGATGGTAAAATGTAAAATTTGGCAGGAAGTGACAGTATTCCCTATCTTGCAGAGGTGACTTTTGGTGTTCTGGTGAAAACTGCTTATGATTTGTCAACATTATAAACATTTAAAAAACCCTACTTTATGCATATGCACTGAATTTTTGTAATGCAACCACTTAAACTGCCATTGGTTGTTTGTTTTTGCTGTCTCTGAAAGCTTAGGGCAGGTCTACTTTTAAAAATACCCCAGCAGCAGTGCATCTGCACCCAATTAGTGCTTCAGTGAAGACACTACCTACGCCAAGGGGAGGGGTTCTCTTGTCAGTGCAGGTAATCCACCTCCCCGAGAGGCGATAGCTAAATTGAAAGGAGAATTCTCCCATAGACCGAGTGCTGTCTACACCATGGATTAGGTTGGTTTAACTGTGTCACTGAAGGGTGTGCATTTTTCACACCCCTGTTGGATGTAGTTATATGATCTAATTTTCTTGTATAGACCTGGACTAAGATTAGGAAAGTTCCTAGGTAGTTTCTCTTGAGTTAGTGAGATTGCACTGCCTTCTCCAGTGCGATAAGTATTGGTGCCAAAAGAGTGCAGCCTTCTTCCATTTGAAAGAGGCCTGGTCTACACTAAAAAATTAAGTTGATTTAACTACTTCCAACAGGGGTGTGAAAAATCCACTCCCAGAGCAGCATAGTTAAGCAAACCTAACTCATAGTGTAGAAGGAATAATTCTTCCATCAACCTAGCTACCACCTCGTGGAGAGCTGGATTAGCTACACTGAGCCCTGGTCTACACTACAGAATTACATCAGTATAACTACATTACTCAGGGGTGTGAATAATCCACCTCCCTGAGTGACATAGTTATACCGACCTAAGTGCTGGTGTGGACAGCTCAGGAGAGCCTTTCCTGATGACATAGCTACCTCCTCTCATGGAGCTGGAGTTATGAAACTGATGGGAGAGCTCTCTCCCATCGGCTTAGAGCATCTTCACCAGAAGCTCTAGAGTGCAAGTGTAGGTGCCGATGCAAGTTTCTAATGTAGACTTGCCCTGAGGGAAGAACCCCTCCCGTCAGCGTAGGCAGTGCAGCTGTGATACTGTAGGATTTCAAGTGTAGATAAGCCCATAGAAAGGAGTCCATGAAATAAGGCAGGAGCACTTTTCTCACCGACTGCACATATTATGCATTACAGAGCTTTCCACTGGTGTCTAGCAAATAGATAAACATAACACAAAGTCTTTGTTGTTTCATTTTCCTTTGTCAAGAATGCACAAAATTAAATACAAAAGAATTCCAAGGTTGCAAAATGAGACACGCAAAAGTCAGGAAATGATCAAGTTAAGGTTGCCAGCACGGCCCTAACTCAGTTCCTGTTCATATATGCTTTACAATACAGTCCTGATCCACACTACATCATCTACTGTCTCAAAAGAAGTTCCTTCTGAATAGAACAGATTAAAATACGGTTATGTTTTCCTTAAACCAGATTTACAGACATATGGTAGGAAGTCAAACCCAAGGAGTTTTTGAGTAACCCCTACTTCCAGCTGGTGACTGAGTGACAGTCAAAGCTCACGTTCTTACAAAAGGCTGTGGAATGTACTTGAGGTGGAGTGAAATCTCACAGAGTCACATAGAACTGGGGATAGTATCCTGAGACACTTGGGAGAGAGAGGGTTCTCTGACTTAACATTTACAGATACAGCTGCTTTTGTTAACGTTCTGAATGCAGAGCTGCCCTTGCAGGTATAACCAATGCAGTGCTGTGTTTCTGAGTCTGCAGACAGACTGAAACAATGACTCAGAGGCGTGAACTCCCCTGCCTCTTAATCTCAATGGGGTGTCAGCTCTACAGCCCAATGATGACACTTGGATGTCAACATTAACTGTCCCACTGTTGATCGTTTGAGCAGATACAATGGAGAAGAGGTCAGAGTGAAGAAAGTGAAGTTGAATATGATAACAAGGCACTGAACAATTAAATATAGGGCTGTCAAGCGATTAAAAACATTGTGATTAATCGCACTGTTAAACAATAATAGAACACCATTTATTTAAATATTTTCCCATGTTTTCTACATTTTCAAATATAGTGATTTCAATTACAACACGGAATACAAAGTGTTCAGTGCTCACTTTATATTTATTTTTGATTACAAGTATTTGCACTGTAAAAACATAAAAGAAATTGTATTTTTCAATTCACCTAATACAAGTACTTTTTTTTATTGCAATCTGTACTGCAATCTCTTTATCATGAAAGTTGAACTTGCAAATGTAGAATTATGTAAAAAAACTTGCATTCACAAATAAAACAAGGTAAAATTTTGGAGCCTGCAAGTCTACTCAGTCCTACTTCTTGTTCAGCCAAACCCTCAGACAAGTTTTACATTGTTTTGTTTTGAGTGCAGTTATGTAACAAAAAAAAAATCTACATTTGTAAGTTGCAATTTCATGACAAAGAGATTGCACTACACGACTTGTATGAGGTGAATTGAAAAATACTATTTCTTTTGTTTATCATTTTTACAGTACAAATATTTGTCATAAAAAATAACATACACTTTGATTTCAATTACAACACAGAATACAATATATATGAAAATGTAGAAAAACATCCAAAATATTCAATACATTTCAATTAGTATTCTATTGTTTAACAGTATGATTAAAACTGCGATTAATTGCAATTAATTTTTTGAGATAATTGCGTGAGTTAACTGCGATTAATCGACAACCCTAATTAAATATTTAAGTACTACATAAAAGCTATATTCAACCTTTAATATTGGGCGTGGGAGGGAAGAGTAGAGAGCCCTAAAATTATAGCCCAGCCCACGGACTATAATTAAAAACAGAATTCAGCCCTCTTCACCACATATACTTGGCACCACCGCTTTAAACAGAACTACCAATTTCTTAATACAAGGTTGAATTAAAGATTTATATAAACTATACAGCAGATTGTCACTGTTTTATAATTATTGCTATAAATTACACACAAAATGATAATATGAATCTTTTGTTCAATGTCTCTTTTAGAAATTACAATCCCATCTAAAGAGATTGTGACAGAACAGATGAGGTACAAACAAACCCAATGTACCTCCTAATAGCTTGTTTTAATTAAAATCCTCTTAGAAGCAGACAATCTTCTTTTTAACACAGGCAGAAACCTCTAGGGGTTTTATAGGATGTAAGTAGCTCACGATGGCAAAGCTTTTCTGCAGTATTAGCATATATCTGAAATCTGGTGTCTGCTTTATTGACCCAAGGCATGGAAAGCAAAAGTGGACAACAGGGAAAGCAAACTTTCAGAGTTTTGTTCAAAATCAATAAAACATGTTATCTGTTGGCTACAGCAGACTAACTTGGAAATAGCACCTGCACCGAAAGCAACTCAGAGTAAAGGTGTCATGTAGACAATTCAGAAGGGGCAAGTTTGGCTGCTTGCTTATTTCAGCTGTCTGGCTGCGGCTTTTATTTTTGAAATACGATAGTTTTGGCTACTCTTATTGTTTAAAACAGAATATAAAGAGATGATGCACTCTCTTAAAATGAAACCTGGGTCAAGTGATGTTTCAGCATCATCAGTGAAGCATCAGATCATTTCAGCCCCTGGCTTTTAAAACTGGCCCCTAACACAGTGTTGGCTCCAGCATTCAGCAATCTCTCTAGGCTGGGGGGCCAGGTCCCTTCCCCCAAAGTTATGCTGGCTTCGGACAGAGGGAATGCACAGGAGCAAAATCTGCAAAGAGGGCAGCTGTGGTGGTGGGAAATGTCAGAAACCTTCCCTCCACCAGGTAACACAGCATTAATCGTTGGTGGCACTGCTATAATGAAGACATGACCAAGGTGGCTGGGAACACATTGATCAGTGCACCCCAACTGAGAGCAGTCCAATGGAGTCCCTGATAGATTTTAGAGTTGCTCAGACTGGCAAAAATTCTAGGGAGAGTGATGGAGGAAACAATACCATGCTCCAGCCCTGACTGGCTCAGTAAGGGGCATTTGGTACTTTCCTGCTCTAGGCAGAGTGAATCTGGCTCAAATACGCCAAAAAAACCCAACTGTCTGTGATGTGAACTCTGTGCAGAACTCTACAGCTTACATCAGAATGGGAAAAAGCCGACATAACCGCTAGGTCCCGTGTTTGCTTTTATTGGTGCAATGCTCATGAAACTGAGCAACTAACACAGCTGTGAAACCAAGCACAGGGAGGGCAGGTATGTGCAGCATTCTCAATCCACTTCAGTCCCCACCTGCAATATCCCCTACTCTTCAAGTCTTCAACTGTTTTTAAGCAGAAACATCCTATTATGCCCAAACATATGATGACTTTGTGATATAAACAAATGCCCTGATTAATTATTCTATGTGACCTACAACTCAGAATTTATAGTTAGGTCTCTGAAAGTGAAAGGCTAGAACATTAACCCAGTGTGTCATTCCAAGTGGTGTATTTCACAGGTCTGCCAATCATCGCTGAGGTACCACATATGGTGGTGCACTGAATTGCCCTTTTAAAGACTTACTTTCATTTCACTATGGAAAGCATGTCTGAGTCTGCTTCTGAACATTGGTGAAACAGTGAATTTGTGTCAATTTCATTTAATTGTTCATTTTGAATTCACAGAGTTTACAGAACAGCACAACAGCAAAAAAGTATTAGAATTCAGGAAAGCAATTTTGGAAAATAAAGGAATCCAGCCTGTGGGGTATGGAAGAGGGAGTAGAAGAGTTTTCACAAACTCCCCGAGTTTGTATCTTGGAGATTATGAACAAGAAGTGGTCACAGTAGGCAGACAGTGACCCTGGACACTGAAGTCTACAATGTCAAAGGCTGCAGAGTAAAAAGGATAAAGGCGTATGAGACAGAAGAAGAGGCTTTTAGACAATCAGCACTTGGTCATTCGAGACCTCTGTAAAACAAATTTAAATGGAATAGAGGGGGTAAAAGCTAAATTATAGGAGATACAAGGGGAGTTAGAAGAAGAACATAGAAATTGAAATTCCAGACCAGAGCAGTGGTCTGTCTAGTTCAGTATCCTGTTACGGACAGTGGGCCATTCCAGATGTTTCAAAGAAGGTGCAGGAAACACATTAGTGGTCAGTTGTGGAATAAACTACCCAGAGGAGAAATCAGTCACAGGTTGGCTTATGCCAGGATACATAAGAGTGTCACATTCATTCTAAAAAAGGATTGTACCCTAGCTAATGTAATTAGAGATGTTTTTATTATCTGTATAAATGTACAATCACTCTGAATCCTGACAATATTTTGACTTCACTCTTGTGGCAGTGAGTTCCACAGGTTGGCTATACATTGTGTAAAATGATTATTTTCTTCTCTGTTTTAAATGTGTTGCCTTTCAACTTCACTGACTGTTCCTTTAACCTTGAGTTATGAAACTGGGTATATTTACCTTCTCCTCGTTATTTTGTATCCTTCACTGTCATGTATACTCTTATTCATCTCCGCACTAAACTAAGCACTCTCAATCTTTTCAATCTCTCCTCATGCAGAACCTTGTCCCGGCCTCTAATCCTTTTTATTGCCCATCTCTGTACCCCTTTCTTTTGAATACCTCTTTTTTGAGACAGGATGACCAGATCTGATAGGAGTATTCTAAGTGTGGGCACACATAGATTTGAGTAATGGCATTATAATAATCTTCAGTATTATTTCCTCTCTCATTCTCTATACAGCCTAACATTGTTTGTTTGGGGGGTTTTATTTTTTTTTTTTATTTTGACAGCTCCTACACTTTGAGCAGATCCTTTCACTGACCTTTACACAATAATTCTTTCTCCTGAAAAGTTTGTTAATTTAAAAATCAAGGTTGCATAACTAGGCAGCTTGAATAGTGGGGCTGGCGGAAAAAAAGGGAGGAAGGAGAAGTGTTTTGGGTTTTTTGAAATGTTTAGGTGAGAAAAAAGTATGTATTAAGGCTAACGGAAAGGAGCAGATAACGAGGTAGTGAAAAAAAACCTGCACTTTAACCCCATAAACTTTTAAAACTGTAACAGATCAGGAAATATATAAACTAATCAACTGTCCCAAAAAATTACATAAAAACTATACAGATTTTCTGGGCAACAACCTTGATAATTTAGTGCAACATAAATCTAGAGCTACTCAATCAAAACCAGTAGAATCACTCCAGATTTCACCTGTGAGAGACAGATCGAGGTCCTCTACTCCACATTTTTCTCAAGACAGAAAGAATAGACTGTTTCTGCATAATTCAGAATAATATAATATGGATGAACTAGTTAAAATACCCAAAGTCTTCTAGTCTTCCAGACAGACAGAATATAAAATGGGAGGAGTATATTTCAAATGATTTTTTTGTTTGTTTTGAAAACTAAATAAAAAACCAAGCCAAAAACCTTACATTTGGCCCTCTTGATCCTGGAACTCTGGGTTCACTCAACAAACTGATGCTCCCTGACCCTTCCATGTCCTATCGTGAAAGAGGAAAGAATCACAGAATGTTACATTTTACCCTCACATCCATTTTACATCAGGACTTTCACTTGAATCTTAAAAAGCAAAGACATTGAAGAAAAAACAAATATACTTTAAATTTTTCTCCAAAACCATTTTTCTGTCAGTTCATTGCTAAGTATTAGAGGTGAGCTATATTCAAATGTGGGAACAGCACAGTGATCCTTTGTGTCAACTGAGAACCTCGCAGAGTGATAGGTTTGTCACTTTATCAACCTTCCGCATTATTTCACATTGAAAAAAACAGGAGAATGGAGTGAAAGCAACTTTCCATTTTCAAGAGTACTTTGTAATACTTTAAATTCTGGTGTAGGATTTGTGTTTGGTCATTTAACTATCTCAAAGCATTATGCTGCTTTGTATAGCTGTGTGTATTGTAATTAATTTTCAAAGCTAAATTGCTTAAACATTTATATCTGTTCTGGCAAAGGAGGCTCTGGAGGCATTTTGCCAAGCAGCCTAATTATGATTCAAGAACTAAAGTTATTTCTTCCTCTCACAATTGAACGTTGGGCTCCTGCCTGCAATGACTGTGGATGCAAAAGGCGATTCACATGGCTCACTGAAATGAGCATGAGCTGAGAGAACAGCAATGTCCATACATGGGGAAAGGCTCTCTGAAGCAGAGGGCAGATCTCTGTTACGAGGAAATGTGCATTTTCTTTAGATACGTGCCAATTTTACAACAGAGGAGACTGCAACACTTTTTCTCAGTCTGTTTCTACCTCACTTATACTCCACACCATCAGGGCAGAAAAGTAAAGCTGAATGCTGCGGAGCCCTTTTTTCCTTCTTTCCACAAACTGTAAGTCAAAGGGCATCAAATATCAAATGAAATCTCTATTGAGATGATGAGCTTTGAACTGTTTAGCTGTTTGCTCACTTCCCAAGGTGAATGCACTTGTGCTGCACGTTCCTTCGCCTTGCCTCCATTGCGCTTTAATTGGTCTCCTTGTGGCAATATTTTTCCATCGAAGACCATGCCTAATGCCTATTTTATATAACACACTGTCATTTTTGACACTCATGTGTTTTTATTAGGTTTACCAGGTACCTTCTGTAATACAGACTGTTCTTTTGGCAAGCACAAGGGCCAGCAAACCCTGTCTCTTTCTTTCCCCAGTGCAGCTCAGTTTTGGCACATAATTAATAACAGTTGCTATCAAATGCTGAAAGCAGTGCTTTGCAGAAGAGACATGCTTAGGGCAATAAACAGATTGCCAACCAAATGCTAGCATTGCCCTAATGAAACTGGCATACCAACTTGAGAACAGGCACAGCATTGTCTTCAGATGGCAGAAGGAGGAATCAAAATGATCATGCAGGATCAGCAAGTCTATTCCTAGATGGGATTTCCAGCTAGACATGGGGAAAGGACAATCATCCTGATCTTCCTGGCTTATGATTAAACAAATACAGTTCTGCTATTCCAGCTCAGAGCTGGCTGGCCAATTTATGTTGTTGGAACCAGCCCTTTCTACACCTCTGTATGGTGCCAATGCAATGGGGCCCCAATCCTGATTATCTCCTGCAATTCTGGCAACTTCACACCACTCAGACTTAGGGGGAGGAAAAAGGCAAAATTTGGCCCTAATTAGCCAGCTGCAAATTCCCTCTGCACAAGAGACCTCTCGGTTGGGCTAGAGGGGCAAAGCTGGCGTCTATGTCAACTTCCCAGGGACCATGTGGGGATTGAGACAGAGCACTCTCAAACTTCACCAGCTCTCAAGGGGTTGATGGTCCTAGTTCCCAGCTGGAGTTCCTAATTACCTGGCATAAGGCATAGCCCCCTGTAGGGGCTCTGACTTATGTTGGGGTTTGGAACATGGATGGCCATAACTGGATCCTAACTGCAAAAAGAAAAGGAGTACTTGTGGCACCTTAGAGACTAACCAATTTACTTGAGCATGAGCTTTCGTGAGCTACAGCTCACTTCATCGGATGCATACCATGGAAACTGCAGCAGACTTTATATACACACAGAGAATATGAAACAATACCTGTGTGTATATAAAGTCTGCTGCAGTTTCCACGGTATGCATCCGATGAAGTGAGCTGTAGCTCACGAAAGCTTATGCTCAAATAAATTGGTTAGTCTCGAAGGTGCCACAAGTACTCCTTTTCTTTTTGCGAATACAGACTAACACGGCTGTTACTCTGAAACCTGTCAAATGGATCCTAACTGTCCTCATCCCATCCTGAACCAAGAGGTTCCCTAGTAACAAATACAGTGGTGCTCCTTAAAAACTAATGCATTGCCTGAGATATCTACTGGCCAGATTCTGGTATCTTTATTCTGGTTTAGTAGCGCTTTAGTCCATTAATAGTTCCATTGACTTCAATAGAATTACTTGGGGAGTAAGGTATGAATAAGGGTATCAGAATTTGTCCTTAAATAAGGACATAACCTCCGTATTTAGCATATTCAATGTATTTCCTAGAGTAAGTATAGGGAAGTATAAAGGAACAATGCAAACACTGAGGGAACCACATTTATATATCTCAGATAAAACTGACAAGTTCTAAAGGTCTCCACTCTATCCTGGATAAGATGTTTGCAAATTGTCAGCCAAACATTTTTTATTCCTCGTATAAAGTTAATCTTGGTTACTGGTCTGATGTATATTATGTCCTATACAGAAAAAAAAATTAGCTAGAGAGCCTTTCTTGAACTGAACAGCCAAACAAACAGGGAGAGAGAGGGTGACCCATACATAGGCATAGATGGAGGTTAAATGCCAACCTTTTAACCTTAGCAAAAATATGGATGTTTAAAACCCTACCACAGCCTGATCCTCTACCCCAAGTCTGCCAGAAAGGGAAGACAGAATTTACCTCAGTGTGTTTCACTCACAGTGCTGAGATTCAGATATTTTTCTGCACTATGAACTGTTTTCAGATAAAGGACTGAACTGAGCCCTAGGTGAGTTCAAATTTTAAAACAGAGGAGGCACTATATGCATGAATAAAATGTAATGTCTCAATTTTCATTTGTTTGGTTTTGTGAGAAAATGTTCCTATTCAGGATTACACCGCATGAGGTCACTACCAAATTTCTGCATTTTGTGTCTTTTAGGCTTGCATAACTGACCCACCTATACCAAACTTATGGCCTCTAAAATGATAGCATGTGAAAACTGGCATGTTAAAGCAGAACCCGAAGCTCAGGTTTAATGCGCAACAGCAGCTGTCATCATATATTTAAGTCTACACTATAAATTATTTACACACTAAAATAAACTACTAAAGTGGTTGTGAAAATTGTGTGATAAGAGCTTTAGCTTATAGCACAACAACAATTCTGATGTTGGTATTAAGATCACTGAATATTTATATAAAAGTAAGTTAAAGAAAGCAATTACCAATGAACAATAATTACTGCCAAATAGAGGGCTAAGTTCCACAGAGATAAAAAACAGCAAACAACTTATCTGTAGATTGGGAGAAAATAAAGTAAACCTGAAGAGAAACTTTATAGACAGTATTCAGTTTGATCAAATTTGTCTTAAAGATAGTTAGACATGAAAAGTGTTAATGAGTATGCTGTCCTTCCATTGAAACCAATAACTTTGTATATACAATTAACTCTTTTAGTAGAAGAGCACCTCAAATCCAAACCCATAGCCTGGGCCAGGTGGCCCCGGTGGTCCTGGTGGTCCTTGAGGCCCAGGCTTTCCAGGCTGCCCATCAGCACCTGCCTGGCCTTCTGGGCCTGGTGATCCAATATCTCCAGCATCTCCCTAAAGCAAAAGGGCAACAACATATGATTTTACTGAACATTTATAACAAGTAGATATAATTACAGGATTTGTCTGACTGAAAATTATGTTCACTGATTTAATTAGGCTGCAGAATAATAATCTTCTGGACTTCTTCCACCCAAGGATCTCAAAGCACTTTTCAAAAATTATTGAATTAAGATTTGCAACATCCTTGTGATGTAGGTTTTGCCTCATTTTATAAATGGGAAATGGAGACAATGAGAGCTGAAGTCATTTGCCCCAACAAAGCACGTCAGTAGTCAAAGCTGGGAACAGAACCCAGGTCCCCTGATTCTCAAGCCCTGGGCAAAAAAATATTGAAATATTACAAATATTTTCATTTTGTTAATCTGCTTTATCTTTGCTTTCTTTCAACTGTTTTCAGGAAACTTTTGATAGGCAGAATACAATGCCAAACTATGGGTGACACACTATACCTGAAGGATGTTGTTATGCTATACTTCAAAATAAACAAAGTTTGATCTTTTTACCTTTGGGCCAACTGCACCAGGTAGACCTTGATCACCCTGTAAAATAAAACCAGTGCCAGTTAATTGAGCAGGATTAAATGATTTAGGCATAGAGAACACAGATATATGTTCTGCTTAATTCAGGTTTCAGTGAATATCTTTGTTGTTGAATTTACTGAGGTCACAATGCTGGTTTATAATAATCATTAAAGCTGCTGGTTAAAAAAACAACCTTCAGTTGAGTAGTTACATCTGCAAATGACTAGCACTTCCAGCGTGGTTTGTAGACAGGAAGCAATCTAGTATTTTGATTATTGCAGCAGGTTTTAGAGGTTTGGACCACACAGAATCAAATATCAAGGGTGAAATCCTCACCCCATTGAAGTCAATGGGAACATTCTCATTGAATGCAATGGGAGCAGGATTTGATCCCAATCAAATTGTTAGTATGGCCCAGTCACAGAGTGTTAACACTGCTACAGATGTTTTTATGGTTCCACTGTGGTAATCTAGCAACCTGATTTTCTGATACACACACGATCTGTGACAGATCTCTGTTTGACAAGGGATATAGGAACCTTAATACACAAGCAGAGTTCCTGTATTCGGTGTTCTCTGAATGGCACAGGTCAGACACTGCAAATGTCAGCCTGCCTATGTGCTCTACAATGGATTGACATCCATCTGTTCTTCTCCCGCACTCAGCTTTTGCTGAAGCCTCTCTCACACTCCATCTCTTTTCCCTGCCATTCTCTTCCTATTCAGTTTACAGAATAGGCAGAAACCCAGAGTATGAAAACAGTTAGTGTGAATGGAAAAAATCGCTGAGTTAATAGCAATACATATAATGTCTGGCCAAATACTATAGGCCCTACACAAACAGACAATGGGCATTTTGACATATGAGCACTCAACCGATGGAGTAAGCACCAATGATGAAACAACAGCAGACAAATAAAGAATGAGTTGTTAGAAAAAGGAATGACAGGAAGCATGCAAAACTACTCTCGACAGATGGGAATAGATTTGGCAGACTTGATGCTGCTGCTGTGCACTGACTGTTCTTTGAGCAACTGTAGCGTGCAGAGAGCTTCATTTATAATTTAATTCTTATCAAATTCATACAGTGAGGAAAATAGGCTCCGAAAGACAAGCCAACTGGCTTTATCCCTCTTTCTGAGGAACGTGCTCTGAATGAAAATGGCATTCTTCCAAGTAACCCCTCTCCCCTCCAGACTTTCACCCAACAATCTGAGATGCAGGTTAATTTAATTTATTGTGACCAGGCATCTTTATTCTTCTCAGGACCCTCCCACAGGAACTGATCTTGCCCTACTGAAGTCAACTGGAACTTTGCCATTGACTACAAAGGACACAAGATCAAGCCAAAGATGCCTGAGCTCTGGAACAAGGAACTTATTTTAACTCTCTCTGGTCCATGTTGGTTTGGTGTGGGGATTACTGGAGTAGCCACACAAAGGGGGCCAGAGCACCCCATGTGTACCACAGTATTGCCAACCCTAAATATTCAAAACTCATGATTCAGCCTCAACAAAATCATGAGACTGGCTTAAATATCCTGAGATTTTTTAAAGAAAATATTGGGGTTCTTTTTCTTTGCCTTTTGTTTTTTGAGCCTTTATGGTGCACTTAGGTCCCATTTTCCAGATTTTCTCTGCAACAATAAGGGACAGAAACTTACTTGATTTTAATGAAAACAGAGATTCCCATGCAATCACTTGACTCCAGGACAGGGGTGGGCAAATGTTTTGGCCTGAGAGCCACATTGGCGTTGCGAAACTGTGCAGAGGGCCAAGTAGGGAAGTCTGTGCCTCCCCAAACAGCCTGGCCACCACCCCCTATCCGCCCCTCCCATTCCCTGCCCCCTGACTGCCCTCCTCAGAATCCCCGACCCATCCAACACTCCTTGTCCCATGACCCACCCTCCCGGGACCTCCGCCCCTAACCGTCCCCCGGGACCCCAGCCCCTATCCAACACCCCCCCCGCTCCCTGTCCTCTGACTGCCCTGCCCCCATCCATACCCCCACCCCCTGACAGCTCCCCTGGGATTCCCACGCCTATCCAATGCCCCCTGTTCCCCATCCCCTGACTGCCCCCCCATAACCTCCACCCCATCCAATCGCCCCCTGCTCCCGTCCCCTGACTTCCTTCCGGGACCTGCTGCCCCTTATCCAACCCCTTCCTGCCCCTTTACCATGCTGCTCAGAGCAGCGGGAGCTTGCAGCCCCACCACCTGGCTGGAGCCAGCCACACTGCCTGCACTGCCCAGCAGGAGTGGCGGGCCAGAGCGCTGGCGGCATGGCGCGCTGAGGCTGCAGGGGAAGGGAGACAGCAGGGAAGGGGCCAGGGGCTAGCCTCCCTGTCCTGGAGCTCAAGGGCCGGGCAGGATGGAACCGCGGGCCAGATGTGGCCCATGGGCCGTAGTTTGCCCACCTCTGCTCCAGGAGCACCACCTTTAAGAAAACACCAAATACTGCAACACTCATGACAAAATTGCAAATGTAGGCAACATTGGCACCGTATAGGTGGTTTACACCTGCCCTCACATAGGCCAGGGCAGAAGGTGAAGATGAGAATGGACTATAGAATCCACAATTAAGTAGTTCCAGTGATCTAGCGCCCCACAAAAATGCAGCGGAAAATCTGTAGCAGGGAGCTGTGCTGCAGCTATAGGCCACTCTTGGCTGGAGGGGTGGATTTCACCTGCCCCATGTACTTTACTTGCATAAACCCAATTATTACTCTGCCTTTCTGTGGATGAATTACATGGAATTGTTGTACATTATCTATTGAATAAAATAGGACTAGATGCAACAGGACATTATAAGGTTGTTCAAACATCCATTTCAGACGTTTTACCAAGCATTAGGAGCTGGATTCAGTAAACTATTCAGGGCTTCCTGCAGCTCAGAAGCGACAAAGATTTTACGCAGAACTGAGCCCTTAGATTTTAAACTTACTTTTTCTCCTTTCTTTCCAGGAGGGCCAACCATTCCATCAAGTCCAGGATGTCCTTGGGGTCCCTGCAAATGCCAGTAGATATAAGCACCTGCCCCAATCACAAAGAAAATACCCTGCCCAAATGAATTTATTTGAACTAATACAACTTAAAAAATAAACTCTAATATGCCTTAGTCACCTCCTATTCTAGTGATTTGTATTTCTGAGTTTTCATTTATGATGTGTTGGTCTGTATGCAACTGAAGAGTGACACTAATACTTAATGAGAAAAAACTTTCATGTAAGGACTGACATTGCTTGCTATTATGGTCCTGATTCTGCTTTTCATGCAATCAGCAAGAGGTTTAAGTGTTTGAGGAGTGCAGGATCCAGTCTTCTGTCTACTTGGAAATGTTGGCATCTCTACTTCACGGGCCAGATCCTGGACTCCAACTCTTACCCCTTTGCACCATAGTGACAGTGCCAATGGGGTGGAGAGCCACCCTAACAGGGCACTTAGGGATTCCCCTGACGTCAGGGAATTGTTGGATGGCACGGAACTGGTAAAAAGCCCATTTACAATTTTTTTTTTATACAGGACATTGGACAGAAAATAACCCATAAGCAGCATTCCTGAGATGGACCGTGGCTGTGGCCACAGTGGAAGAGGATGGGGCTCAAGTGTGCAACACTCTAGCCATCTCCAGCTGGAGGAGTGACCATTCTAGCCAATATAATTTAGAGCCTCCCTTAGGCCCTTTTCCCTGTTCCCAATCCCCAGTCCTGCAAGGAGCTGTCTGACTGTTCCCACAGACAGGCCCAACACATGTTAAGTGAAACTGGAGGGGGCTCCTGGAGAAAGGAAGAAAGAAGAATGGGGAAGGGAATTTCGGGCCCTTGTGAATGGGACTGAGACACAGGAAGAACTGTGGGGAGAGGAAAGAAGAAACAAAGAGAACAAAAGAGAACAGGGAAAAAAAGGGGAAACTCAGCCACACTGCCAAATTAAATGTGAAAATTTAATATGAAAAGCCAAAAAGGAGTTTGAAGAACAGCTAGCCAAAAACTCAAAAGGCAATAACAAAATGTTTTTTAAGTATATCAGAAGCAGGAAGCCTGCTAAACAACCAGTGGGGCCCCTGGACGATTGAGATACAAAAGGAGCACTTAAAGACGATAAAGTCATCGCAGAGAAACTAAATGAATTCTTTATTTCAGTCTTCACGGCTGCAGATGTTAGGGAGATTCCCAAACCTGAGCCATCTTTTGTAGGTGACAAATCTGAGGAATCATCACAGATTGAAGTATCACTAGAGGAGGTTTTGGAATTGAGAAACTTAACAGAAACAAGTCCCCAGGACCAGATGGCATTCACCCAAGAGTTCTGAAAGAACTCAAATGTGAAATTGTGGAACTATGGTTTATAACCTGTCCTTTAAATCAGCTACTGTACCCAATGACTGGAAGATAGCTAATATAATGCCAATATTTAAGAAGGACTCTAGAGGTGATCCAGGCAATTATAGACCGGTAAGTCTAATGTCAGTACCGGGCAAATTAGTTGAAACAATAGTAAAGAATAAAGTTGTCAGACACATAAAAGAACATAAATTGTTGTGCAAAAGTCAACATGGTTTCTGTAAAGGGAGATCATGTCTTACTAATCTATTAGAGTTCTTTGAGGAGGTCAACAAACATGAGGACAAGGGGGATCCAGCGGACATAGTGTACTTAGATTTCCAGAAAGCTTTTGACAAGGTCCCTCACCAAAGACTCTTACCTAAATTAAATTGTCATGGGATAAGAGGGAAGATTCTTTCATGGATTGAGAACTGGTTAAAAGACAGGGAACAAAGGGTAGGAATAAATGGTAAATTTTCAGAATGGAGAGGGGTAACTAGTGGTGTTCCCCAAGGGTCAGTCCTAGGACCAATCTTATTCAACTTATTCAAAAATGATCTGGAGAAAGGGGTAAACAGTGAGGTGGCAAAGTTTGCAGATGTTACTAAACTGCTCAAGATAGTCAAGACCAAAGCAGACTGTGAAGAACTTCAAAAAGATCTCACAAAACTAAGTGATTGGGCAACAAAATGGCAAATGAAATGTAATGTGGATAAATGTAAAGTAATGCACGTTGGAAGAAATAACCCCAACTATACATACAATATGATGGGGGCTAATTTAGCTACAACTAATCTGAGAAAGATCTTGGAGTCATTGTGGATAGTTCTCTGAAGACGTCCACGCAGTGTGCAGCGGCAGTCAAAAAAGCAAACGGGATGTTAGGAATCATTAAAAAAGGGATAGAGAATAAGATGGAGAATATCTTATTGCCCTTATATAAATCCATGGTACGCCCACATCTTGAATATTGCTTACAGATGTGGTCCCCTCATCTCAAAAAAGATATACTGGCATTAGAAAAGGTTCAGAGAAAGGCAACTAAAATGATTAGGGGTTTGGAATGGGTCCCATATGAGGAGAGATTAAAGAGACTAGGACTTTTCAGCTTGGAAAAGAGGAGACTAAGGGGGGATATGATAGAGGTATATAAAATCATGAGTGGTGTGGAGAAAGTGAATAAGGAAACGTTATTTACTTGTTCCCATAATATAAGAACTAGGGGCCACCAAATGAAATAAATGGGTAGCAGGTTTAAAACAAATAAAAAGAAGTTCTTCTTCACACAACACACAGTCAACCTGTGGAACTCCTTCCCTGTGAAGGTTGTGAAGGCTAGGACTATAACAGGGTTTAAAAGAGAACTGGATAAATTCATGGAAGTTTAGTCCATTAATGGCTATTAGCCAGGATGGGTAAGGAATGGTGTCCCTAGTCTCTGTCTGTCAGAGAGCGGAGATGGATGGCAGGAGAGAGATCACTTGATCATTACCTGTTAGGTTCACTCCCTCTGGGGCACCTGGCATTGGCCACTGTCGGTAGACAGGATACTGGCCTGGATGGACCTTTGGTCTGACCCAGTACGGCTGTTCTTATGTTCTTAAGAGTTTGGTAGCTAAACTGCCCAGAGATTCTGTCTATAGTGAGCGTGTTCAAGCCCAGGGCTGCAAAAGTGAGCAGTAATTTCCCTATAATTCCTCTTTATGGCTGCTGCAGGCCCCTGTGGTGCTGGGCAACAGAACTCAGAGCAGGGAGACTGTCTCTCTGGTGCTTGCAATCAGGGTGGCTCTGTCCCCTTCTAGTGGTGGCTGGGCCACATGTAGAGATTGATGAGCCTGCTACAGTCACTGCTGAGGAGCCCCCCAGTTGGGCAGCATTTCAAGCGGCAGCCTGTACAGGGAATTGAGATTGTGACAGAGCACAAAACGTGGCAGGTGGTTTCCAAATGTAACACTGCACCATGGAGGGCGTTGTCAGCAACGAATGAATGAGGCCCTGCACCCCAAATGTTATTCCATTTGTCTGGTGCTTTTTAGGATGACCACTACTGGTCTCACATTTACCACCCTTCTCGCATCACTTTCCATTTTTACCTCCTGGACCCACTATAGTTGATACGGTATACATTTTTAACATTAACAAAATTGGAATGATTTTCATTATGTTTTAGGTCTATTTTATATTATACAGTGAATATTTTGGCTGGGAGGGTTGAATTAACATTAAAATTGTAATTAATTATTCATGATTATGATTATTACTCATGCAGTGTACAATGATCTAAAGTCTTATCGTCATATGGCTGCAGATGTGCTTTATAGCTTTGGAGTAGCCTCAAGTACGCTATTACTTTACATTTAAATTCTTCTGCATCACTGGTCTTTACAAAATTGGACATGAAAACCATTTTTTCAAGAAATGTAACCACATCAGTGCTGACAAAAGTTGCAATGAGCTATTTCAACTTCATGTATATTTAACAAACAAAACTATGTAATCACATCAATAACAGATGCTATTTAAAGCAGTTAGTAAAAGCGATATTTCCAGTTACAATAGGCAGTTTTTAATCCAAGCCTTTTCAAGACATGTTTCCAATAAGAGAGCTGTTAAATAACTAAGTCCTTGATTCAGCCAGGTACTTAGGCATAGGCTTAACTTTAAACAGATGAGCAGTGCCACGGGAATCAAGACTACTCACATGTTTATGTTACACAAGGGTTGGTAGGGTTGCCAGGCATCCAGTTTTCAACCAGAATGCTGGTTGACCCCCCGACCGGGCTGTTAAAAGTCCGGTCGGCAGCACAGCGGGGGCCTGGGCCCTAGCTCCCTGCGGCACCCAGAAGCGATAGCCAGATCCCTGCAGCCCCTAGACACATGGGTGGCCAGGGAGGCTCCGTGCACAGCCCCTGTCCTGAGGGCTGGCTCCACAGATCCCACTGGTTGGGAATCACAACCAATGGGAGCTGCGGGCACGAGGGCAGTGTGTGGAGCCTCCCTGGCTGCCCATGCATCTAGAGGCTGCAGGGACCTGGCAGCCGCTTCCCAGGAGCTGCGGTAAGCGCCACTAGGATCCTGCACCCTGAACCCCCTCCCCCCGCCCCAGCCGGGAATCGCCTCCTGCACCCAAACTCCCTCCTGGAGCCCACACATCCCCCCCCCGCAACATCCCAACACCCTGCCCCAGCCCCCTCCTGCACCCCAAACCCCTCATCCCCAGCCCCACCCCAGAGCCCGCACCACCAGCTGGAGCCCTCATCCGCCTCCTGCACCCCAACCCCCTGCTCAAGCCCAGTGAAAGTGAGTGAGGATGGGGGGAGAGCCAGTGACAGAGGGAGGGGGGATAAACAAGGGGGGTGTGGGGCCTCGGGGCAGGGGTGTTTGGTTTTCTGCAATTAGAAAGTTGGCAATCCTATAAACACGTGCTTCAGTGCCATGCTGAATCAGAGCCTAAATCCTGAAATTGCTGAGTGGATGAGGAAGCCACTTATGTTACACATGTAAATTACAGAGGGCCAGGCCTGATTTTCCTCTTACATACATACGTACATCAGTGTAACTCTGGAATAGCTACACTGAAACCAGCAGAATGACCTTGGTGTGAAAATCCATTTGCAAGTGGAGAACGAGACCCATGTTCACTTTAACAGCCTGATTTTAGAATCAGGATTTTTAATATTAA